TTTTACTGGGCCATGCCCCATGTGTGCCCGCGGGCTTGCCAGCCTGGTCCCTCACACCACCACCACCACCAACCCCGCCCTCCTTTCTTCTCCCGCTTTCCTCCAGGCCGTGCTGGAGCTGCTGTCCAACCCGGTGATTGCCGAGGGGCGCAAGAAGGACGTGGTGAAGCGGCTGGCCTCCGAGGCCTCCTTCTCCCAGTATACCGTCAACTTCCTCAACCTCCTCATCGACCAGAACCGCATCGAGGCGCTGGAGAACATCTGCGAGTCGTTCGAGAAGAGCTACTGCGCGCTGACCGACACGCAGGCGCGTGCGGCGCTGTGTGTGGGGGCGCTCGCCGGGGGGGCGCGGGCCCCGAGGGGCGAGGGGCGAGGGACCCGTTGGGGGGGGTGGCTGGGGGGCGCGCCGGGGGGGCGGGGTTGGAGGTGGCAGGGCGGCAGGCGCGGCGCACGGCGCGGGCCAACCGCCGGCTTGGGGCGGTAGACGGGAGCGGGGAGAGTGGGCCGGCTGCCGGCGGGCGCACGGCATGTGCGCCGCCGCATCGTTTGGCGAGCTCACGCAGCACCCCTCGCTTGCCCCACCGCAGGTGGCCACGCTGCGCAGCGCGGTCAAGCTGGAGCAGGAGCAGCAGTTCCTGATTGCCAAGAAGCTGCAGGAGCTGACGGGCAGCAAGAACATCAAGCTGAAGCCGGTGGTGGACGCAGACCTGGTGGCCGGCTTTGTGGTGGAGTACGGCTCCACCCAGATCGACCTGTCGGGTGGGTGGCGGCGCTAGGAGGGTGGTCCCGCTGGTGGTGGTGTGGGTGGCGGGTGGACGTTGGATGGGGCGGGCGTGGTGTGGTGGGCGGAGAGCGCATGTGAGGGCGGCGTGCGAGGGAAAGCAGCATGTGGGGGGACTGTGTGGTGCGCGGGGCTCCGGCGACCAGGGAGCGCGGCGGCTGCTGCCGCCTCTTGGAAGCCGCTGCTGCTGCGACGCGCTCTCCGCCTCCCTCCCTCCCTCCCACACACACCCTGCCCCCTCTGCTGCTGCTGCCCCCTCCTGCAGTCAAGGGCCAGCTTGACAAGATTACAGGCGAGCTGCTGACCACGGCGCAGGCCATGTAGAGGCCTGGCGACCCCAGCCTCGCTGCCCCTCCCTGGCCCCTGCCCCGGGCGCCTTGTAATTCTTTTGCACACCAGCACCAGACCG